GCACCCTCCCCGTGTCTGCAGCAGAACTGAACAGTGGCCGGCACTCGCCTGCCCCCCGGCACTGAGCTCAGGCCCCCTGGGTGCTGACGGGGGTCGTAAAGACCCCCCATCTACAACGGAATCAGAAAGTTTGATATTACTCACGAGCTTTACCAGCTTTGCAAGGTAATTTTTTTCCCCTCCAGTGTACTGTGAGACTTTATATGCCCGGGCATCTTCCTAGACTTCGACTGAATGAGTTTTTAGAGTTGGATCAATATAACAAAAGAAAGAAAATTGCAGTTCAGCCAGTGCCACTTATGAGAAAGAATGTTAGTTCCTTTCCTCTCCAAACTTTAATTAAGCTTAAATTATGAAAAAAAAAGTTCGATGCAGTAGATTCCCACTGAATGGTTCACCCAGCACCCCGTTCCTTTAAAAAATGTTCAAGTGTGAGTTACAATGTAATTGCCGTGACCATTCAAATAGTAAACATCTGAAGTCAAATCAATGGGATTTCCTTTCCTCCTATCGCATTCTTCTGACATGACACTCTGCTGTCCAGCTTCCCATATTTTCCCTCTGCTTATTCGAACGTGCCCATAACCGTTCAGACTCACAGACTGTTAACGTGGCATCGCGTGGTACAAATTAACCCGCGTCACCCCCTCTTTCACTTCAGTGCATATCGCTCGTACCACTTTTCCAGCAACCGCCCTCTTCCCGCGGCTTGCTCCCACAGCCCACCTGGCCGCTGGGACTCGGTTGTGTGTGCATTGTAATTTTGCTTCCCTCGCCAATGGGTGGGCGCCCTAACCCAGGTGGGGCAATGAGTGTCCTCCCCGGGTTTTGGGGTGTCCTTTGGGTAGGCAGATCTATTGTATGTAAATTTTGGGAGGGTGGGTTGCTGTTGTCTATCTCATAGACATCGGAGAAAGTTAGACTGCAGTAACAAAGACAATGGTGCAGATGCCCCAAGCAGAGAGAGAGAGGCAGAGGTAACAGGTGGAACTGGAGCTGGAGATAAAGACGGAGCTGGAGACAGAAAGACGGACAGACGAGAGGCACTACTTTAGGCTCTCCACCAGACTTCGTTCCGCTCCCAGGGTGCAGTCCTGCTCTTGGGGTGCCCGTGAATCCCTCTGTGCCTCACTGGTCTTCCATCCTCAGTAACTAAGCGTGGACACAGAGTTTTAAGCCTATGATTTTTTTTGGACAAAAGTTTACTTTTCCTATCATACTTACAGTGTGATTTCCCCTAGGAGGAATAAGGACAAAGGTGTTACTTTATTTAGTAAACTTTGTGTGTGTGTGTGTGTGTGTGTGTGTGTGTGTGTGTACCTATTCTCTGCTAAATTCTGCCCTCCCTAAAAGTTGGTGACCCATAGAGGACACAACAACTAACCCAACAATTTTGGACAACTGTGTTGTGTGTGATGGCCGGGACAAGCACAGGTGTTTTGGGAAGGCCAAAAAGAGGCATTAAAATATGTCCTCAGCCCTAACCCCTAAGTCCAGCCGTGCCCCCCACCCCCCATCACCTTAGACGTGGCCTTCGTTGTACGTGCAGGAGACTGCATGTGTGTGAACAGTCTCACACAATTTCTGACTTATAAAATCAACTAAAAGTGATTGTCAAATCACCCATGTCCTTTCCCCCCATAAATAGCATCTTCCCGAGACACAAGTGGGCCATCCGCTGTCTCCAGAGGGAGTCTGGGGCGGCAGGGCGGGGGTTACTCAGCCCTGCGTGGAAACTTCTGGACTCACACGTTGGCTGTGCCCGGAGCCATTTCCCTCCTCCAGCTCCTGACCCTCCCTCGAAGAGCGGCATTCGCTGAACTTGATGACTATCCGTCTAGACAGCAGGAGCGATGAAGTGACCCAGCGGGCCTCGGGGCGGCTGTGATGGGGTCTCGTTGCCCTGCCTCCGTTTTCCAGCTTCCGCAGCGCGGCCCCGGGGGGCTCTTGCGGCCGCACGGCGCGTGGGGCCTCCCTTCATCCATCCGCGGGCTTGTCTTCAGGCAGGGTGCCCTGAGCTGAACACCTGCTGTGCCTGTCTCTGCCTTCTCACAGACGTTTTCTGTAGACACGGAAAATCGCTCACAGATCTTGACTGTCTCAGGCTTGCTTGAAACGTGGCTTCCCTGGGGGGCACTTGGACGAGCGGCCGTGGAGTTCACCGGCCACGGGAGCATCGCTTTCCCAGGCGAGGCCAGTCCTCGCCGGAAGGAAGCTGCCTGGAGGAGGACGGGGTGCAGGGAGGGCCCAGGGGGTGGACGGGAAGGCAGATCATTCAGGATTTCACCACGCTGCGGTCAACGGCGCCTTTGCCCCCAGACTCCTTCCCGCCCACAGCGGAACAGCCCAGTCTCGTGACTAAAAAGCTGTCCCGGAAAAGAAGAAGTGCTCATCCCACCGGGGGAGGAAGAGGAACCCAGTGGCATCTCGCCCCTGGCCTCAGAAAGACATCAGAGGAGAGGAAAGGGTCGCTGCCCTCCAGGCGGGCCGTGAGAAAGCCTGACGGGAGTTACAGGGTGGGGTGAGGGGTCAGGCGAAAGGCTGCGCTGGCCTCATGGTGAGGCATCAGCACTCGGGGGGCGGTGGCCATCTCCAGAAGGCACCAGGTCACCCCTCTGTGGGTGCAGCTTAGATGAGCGACGCTCAACATGGACACAGAGAGCGTGGCCTGAGCACCTGCCAATCAGAACTGGTGCTGGCCCCACGGCACCAGAGTCCGGGGGGCTTCTGTGGCTCCAGGCACCGACGCTTCCGTTGCAAGACTGTAGAGCGGGGGGCCCCGGGGAACTACCAACCAGGAGGAGCTTTTCCGAAGTTCACGGCTGGAACTGCCGTGTGGCGCCCACGGCCCAGTGGCCGCCCTCCTGCAGGACCTCGTTGTGAGGGACCAGACCGGAGATGCGGGCGTGGCTTCTCTGGGAGCGGGGAGCTCTCACATTCATGCCAAGGAGCTGTCCTCCCTTCAGGAAGGAGTTGGGAGCCATCCATGGCTGGCAATGTTCAGCAAACATCCGTTTAATTAATACTGAGTGCATCTCTAGGAGCTCCAAATGGCCGACGGGGACGTTGTTTTGATTAAAGGCACCCTGCAGGCCTGCCTCCGGGCAGCTGGAGGTGTGGAAGGAATTCTGGGAGGAGTGACGGGACCCTGAAGCGTGGCAGAGCTGGAGGGTTGTGGGACCTGAGTGGAGTCTCGCCCTCAGCAAGAGTAAGTGACTTGGCCAAGTTCACACAGCTGGTCACGGACAGAGAAAAGCCCTTCCCTCCCAGGGGTGGCTGCGCGGAAGGAAGAGGAATCTTGCCAGTCAGAGTCCAAGATGGCAGTGGGGTGGCTGAGCGGGGGTGGGGTGGGGTGGGGGCCAGTGGACAGGGCGGGGTGGTGAGGTAGGCACATCCAGAGAGGAGGGAAGCGTCGTGTTCTCAAGAGTGGGGTTGGCTTTTTTCTGGGGGCGCAGGTCTCGGGAGGCCTATTCTTGCCGAGGCAAGTCCTGCTTTCACTCTTTTTCTGGCCTTGCCTGCGGTGGATTCCGGGTGTGAGCGGCAAGGTGCGCTCCAGAGGCTGCCCAGACTGGAGTTCCCGGAGCGGAAGGCATCCAAGCACCTCCTCCCAGCGGCCCTCAAGGGCTTGGGCCCGCCCAGGCCTCCCAGAGCTTCCCAGGCCCCGGGGCTTTCTGTGGGGCAGGTCCCGGGCCAGCCGCGGCCACGACTTCCGCGGGGCCCCAGGTCCGGGGCAGAGTGCCCGGCAGGGGCCGCCGCCTCGCCTCGCATCCAGCTCCGCCGCCGCCGTGGCTGGCAGCGCCACGCTCTGCTCAGAAGGTGCTTGGCACTGGAGCCCCGCGCCGGGGAGGGGCGAGCAGAGCTGCAGCCCCCTCCGCCCGCCCAGACCAGGGAGGGGAGGGGTGAGCAGGCGCCGAGCTGGGGCAAAGCGCGGGGCTGTGGGTGCCTCTCCTTGCGCATTCGCTCTCCGCGCCGCGCGCGCGCTCCCCGTGGCTGAGTGGCCTCGGACCTGGACCTCGGCAGCCAGAAGCCGTGCACACCCGCTTGCTTGCCGGTGCGCTAAACGCCAGGTGGGAGCTGCTTAGCTTGGGTGACCGGACTCCTTCTCCCCCTTTCCCGGGAGCCCGAGGGCTGAGCTGGAAGCCCAAGCCCCGGGCGCTGCGCTCCTATAAATAGCGCGCGTGTGCCCGCCTCCAGCTCTCCTGCCCGCGCGCGGACGGGCAAAGTTGTGCGCAGGGACTCCGGGCGCACGGCACCGGCAGGAGGGCAGCCCGCCCGCGAGCCGCCCCGCGCCTCGGAGCTGATCCCGCAAATTTGTGCCTCGCGTGCTGGGCGCCCAGCTAGCGGCTGCCTACCTGCCGACTTCGAGCGACGCCCGGCTCTGGGGAATTTGCGACCGAGCGAAAGTGGCAGCCGCCAGAGTGCTGGCCATGAACACAGCCTGGCGTTCTCCTCGGTCCGGGAAACACCTTCCGCCTCCGTGACCCGTCCCTGCCGCAAGCCCGCGAGCCCGGCGCGAGCGGGACCGGAGTCGGCGCCGCTGGGCACGCACTGCCTCCGTGGCTTCTCCGAACCCCTTCGTTTCTCCTAATCCGAGGTTCGCCGGGGGGTGCCGGGGCTTGGGGTGAGCATTTACTGTCCTTATCCCCTCTGAGGTGTGAACGTGAAGGGCTGGAGACTTTTTGGATGTCTGGGAACAAGGGGGCGGGTAAAGGCGCCCGAGGCAGGGCTGGTTCTCGGGCGGCGGAGGGCGGGGCGGGGAGTTCTGCCTGAGCTCCGCGAAGGACGGAGGTAACCCAGCCCGCGAAAGAGCGCGAGGGGCGACTCTGACTTCAAACCACTGAATCGGTGGGAGTGTGAGCGCCGCCCCTGCCGCGGTTCCTGCGGCGCTGCCGGTCTCCTGCGATCCAGCCGCTGGCACCTCCGCGCGCTCGGCCCCGGGGTAGGCGGCGACGCAGGCGAGCAGAAGCGCCAGCCGGCTGCGGCGGCCCTCGCGGCTCACCATGGGCTCCGGGCGCCGGGCGCTGTCCGTGGTACCAGCGGTGCTGCTGGCCCTCACCCTGCCCGCGCTGCGCGTCGGGGCGCAGAACGACACGGAGCCCATCGTGCTGGAGGGCAAATGTCTGGTGGTGTGCGACTCGAACCCGGCCACGGACTCCAAGGGCTCCTCTTCGTCCCCTCTGGGGATCTCGGTCCGGGCGGCCAACTCCAAGGTGGCCTTCTCGGCGGTGCGGAGCACCAACCACGAGCCTTCCGAGATGAGCAACAAGACGCGCATCATTTACTTCGATCAGGTCAGACTCCGAGGGATGCGGGGCGCGGGGCGGGGGGCGGAAGGGGCCGTTGCTGGGTGGGCAGCTCAGACCAGGGCTGCCTGCTCAGGCTGAGCTCGGTTGGCCGATTGGAGTGGAGGGAATCATCTAGGCACTCGCCTCCCCAAATATGTCTGGGACCGAAACTTCCAGTGTCTTTCCCACGGCTACCTCCGCCCCTGTTCCCTTCTCGCCTCCCGAAAAGGCTGCTGGGGCGGTGGGGAAAGGGCTGGGAACGCCGAGCCGGCAGCACGAGCTCAGGACAAGTTTCACAGCAACAGGTCTGCAGGAGCGGGCTGGAATCTGGTGCCTGGACTTGGCAGTCTCTTGGCCAGAGCTTGGCCCCTGGCTAAGACCCCTTTCTGCAGGTGCTCAGGAGGCCGTTCCCGTGGTGCCCCTGGAATGCAGGATACATGATTTGTTCCTCTCAAGTGGAGAAGCTTCTCCCCAAAGAGAGCTCCCGGGGTCCAGGCTCTCTGCAGAGGTCTTGCAGGTGGCTGGAGAGGTGGGCAGGGTTGGGTCCAGCTCACCTTGCACTGCTGGGATCCCCATGCACGTTGCAGGGGAAGCCCTTCTCCTCCGGTGCTTGCCGAAAAGTTGCGGAGGAGGAGGAGGCAGAAGGAGCCGGGCGACCACGCTGAGCTCCAGCAGGGAAACGCCGGGGAGCCAGCCAGCTCTCCCTTCGCCTGCTCCGGTGCTTTCAGAGCACTGCGGGTTCCTGGGGGGGGGGGCAGACTTGAGGGCTGAGGCTAGGGGATGGCAGAGGCACTGATGCAATCCGTGGCTTCTTTTTAAAGACCTGGAGCTCAGAGGCTGGGGTGATGAGAAACCCCAGGATACCAGCCGAGCTTTAGCAAGGCGTCATGACTGAAAACCAGTGCTGGGGTTTGCATTTTTAACTGTTAAGACCCCCTAGAGTCATTTTGACCCCAGAGCCCCATGCGTAGCCTGCAGCTGTACGCAAAGCCCCCTGTGTAAGAGCGCAGGTGGGGAGGTACTACTGCAGGTTGTGAGGGGTGAGGCGACCCCTGTCTTCCTTACTTCGTGTCTCCCGGGCAAGGCACTCGCTCTCCGGCTGGCCAGGGACGGAGAACGCCTCTCTGGGGCTGGCTGTCAGGTGGCCACAATTTTTGAGGAATTAAGCAGCCCCTTGGGGAGTGCAGTCTTTTCCCCGTTGACGGAAATCTCGGGAAGTGTAGCACCACCCCTGGCTCGCATGTCAGCGCGCTGATTAAGTGTCGGAATACCGTGGACATCGCGCTGTCCCCTGTACAGTCAGTGTGTTTGCAGTGACCTTTCCGTCAGTGAGGAGAGGAGAAGGGCTTGTTCTGCTGGTCGGGAGCCGTACCTCCTGGACACAATGAGACACGCTGAGTTCTAAATCTGGATGTGGCTGGAGGCTCTAATTACAACGTCTAGTCAACCCCCAGCCTTGTGTGCGGTCAACACGGATCAGCCGTTTCTGTTACGACTGAGGAATTCTGCTACTTGTGTCTGTTCCAGGAAGTCCCCCCCCCTCAAGTATTTCAAGTTGTTTCAAATGGGCTTGGGGGGAAATCTTGGTAAAGCTGCTGCTAAGGATTATGGCGTGCCTGGTGGTCTGTTGCTGGGAGATCGTGGGTCATCAGATCGGATGCTTACTTGGAAGAAGGGGAAATCTCAGAGCAAAGTCAGACACGGGCGTGCGTTGTAAGCCCGGGCTCCAGCCTGCGGCACCTGCCTGACTACATTCTAGTGCATCGCTCAGAGGTAACAGCATGCCCTGAGGGAAGCACACTGAAGGGTTACTGTGGGCATGCATGGGGTGCTTCAGAGAGACAGGAGCAGGTTGCCATTGGCGGAGGGGCAATGTATCTTTAAAGGAACATCTGAGTTTTTTTTTGAATGCCACTTACAGATTTATTTGTTGAAGAGAAATGGAAGAAATCCTAGTCATTTCACAACTCCTCCTCCCCAGTGCACACACAGCCCCACCCCCCGCCTGTCTCTCTCTCTCTCATGGGAAGGGACTTAATCTCTGTGATGTTTGCAAACTTGGTTTAGGAGGTCCCTCACTGAAATTCAAAGTCAGTTCCATAACCAGCAGATCCAGACTGAACCTCTTGGCAAACAAAGTGCACTGTTGCTCTCCCTGCAAACAGTACCCGATTTCACTTTTCATTTGCGACCCTTAGACTTTCCATCAACAAGCAGGTGGTTGGTGAGAGGGTGATGGATGATACCGGGAGAGACAGGAGAGGGCCACCTGTGTCACAGCCCGCGCTTCTCCACGCTCTACCCTTTGGCAGCCTGCAAAGGCTGAGTCATTGCCAAGGCGGAAGGCAGGCCCGGGTGGCGCAGGGATGACAACAAATGGCCGTGGCTCCTAGGGGAGGCTCTGCGCAGGCTCCGAGGAGGGCCGGGCCTCCAGCTCGCTCCGGCACCAGCTGTTCGGTGTCACGGAATGTGTCACACAGCAGAGGGAGTGCCCGGGCCGCCGTGCGAGGTGTCCGGGAATGGCTGCAGGAGCTCTTGGGCGCCGATTGGCTGTCTGGGAAACGCCACCTCTGGCCCCCGGGAGGGCTCGAGGAGGGTGGGGCCGTGAAGGCACGCAGGTGCCTTTTATCTGATAAAGCTGAGACGAGTAAAAAAGCCCTCCCGCGTCACCTGGGTGCTGCCAGCGCCGACAGGCCTTGCTGGAAATTAAGGCATGAATGCAAAGAAGTCACTTCATTTCCCCTCTACCCTTTAAAAGGCAGGAGAACCTTCCAATAGACAAACGCATTTTCCAAGTTGCTGAAGAGGAAAACGCTAGAACTCAGTGTTTTATTCTCCATGATTTCTTAAGCTAGTTGCTGATCAGGATGAAAAAAAAAAAAAAGAAAGAAACTGATACTCACAGAAGAGAATATTCTAGTAATTTACTGTTATTTGTTACCTTTATTTGTAGATCCTAGTAAATGTGGGTAATTTTTTCACCCTGGAGTCTGTCTTTGTGGCCCCAAGAAAAGGAATTTACAGCTTCAGTTTCCACGTAATTAAAGTCTACCAGAGTCAGACAATCCAGGTATGTGTCCCTGTCCCCTCTGCACCCAGACAGCTGTGTCCATGGGTTGTGGGTTATGTGTTTGTGTATTTACCCAACCGAGTGCTGCCACCGTGAAAATAAACGACCATCCACAGTGGTTTATTTTTAAAACACTTAACTCCCAGTTTTCTTCTTTATAACATCCATTAAGGCACGTGACAGGAAGCATATAGAAAAAAAAATAAAACAATTGAACTCATTACCTTCATAACAAGCAACCATTTATAAAAACACGGCTTAGCCACAAATCTCTTTATGAGATCTTGATCTCACTTAGTGCCTGTGTGAAATTGTTTTAACTTGTCAGGAGAAAACTTGCAAGACTAGCAGATCTTTACTTGCTGGCTAGAAACACATTTGCTATCACTGTTAAAAATGAGGAGAAACAGCCAGTAAGAATGCATTTATCAAGGAACAATTATTCGATGTACTTTTTTAAGAAGCGTGTGCTATGCTTTAGTTTATCCTCAGTTAACTCTGATGCTAGTGAATTCTTACCAGTTGTGATTTGATAGTTAACTCTGCATTTTGTTTTGTACTTTCTAAGGTGATGGGCTTGACTTTACACTCCAAGAGGACAAGGGGGCTTGTTCGTATAATGTTCGAGTATGTGGACACCTAGTTACACCAATACGTGTCTATGGAATTCTGGGACAACTTTTTATCTTATGCTCAATATTTGTATCGAATACTACAGCCACGTGAATGATAGATTCACTCATCTACCACTTTTGTATATTATAGTGAGTGGATAAATTGATCGGCCTCAGATTTAATTTATTATTATTATTATTATTTTATTTTTACCATGAAAGGAATGAATATCTAGTAAACAAATTCACAACCATGGAAAAGCTTTCCCCCAAGCCCCACTGTAGAAGCTTGTGTAATGTTTAACACAATAAAGTCAAAGTTAAGGATAAATTTCAAATATATTATGTGTTAATAATTTTGAGTTTATTAATTATTCTTTGCTAATTATCCATCATTAAAACCGTCAGTGGTAGTGGTGATTATTATTTTTTAACACACCATTTCTTGTTGGGAAAAACAGAAAAAGAAATCATGGCACATACAGGCCATAATTTCAGACAATTTTCAGCGCTGGGCGTGTCCCAGCCGCATGGTGACCTGCAGGAAGTGGGCGGAAGTTCGCTGTATCTGGTTCACCAGGGCAAAGGGCACTGGGTCTCTCTTTACTGGTGTGTTGGGAAGCCACAGGCTTACTTCATTACCAAAGGATTGCTATTGAACATGAGGGGTAACTGCAGTGGTAAGCTTAATTTACGCGCGGATGGGTAGCCAGTTTTCACATGGCCCTGTTTGCCCTCCATGGTGGTAAATTTTTTGTAGGCATCTAAGGAAATTTCCATGGAAGACACTCAATTTTATTTTTAACCCCTCCCCCTCCCCAGCCCAGCAGACACACGGAGTCTAACCACTGCAGTCCTCGGCGCTGAAGGAAGGGGATGTAGTTACTCAGTGTCTGCTATTTTACCCCGGCTGTCATCTTAGACGTCGTTTGGTGTCCCTGGTCGATGTTTTCACTGTGAAGAGAGCTCAGTGATCTCTCTTTTCGTCTTGTAGGTTAACCTGATGTTGAATGGAAAGCCGGTCATATCTGCCTTCGCTGGGGACAAAGACGTTACCCGTGAGGCTGCCACTAACGGAGTCTTACTCTACCTGGATAAGGAGGATAAGGTTTACCTAAAACTGGAGAAAGGTAACCTGGTCGGAGGCTGGCAGTACTCCACGTTCTCCGGCTTCCTGGTGTTCCCCCTCTAGAGTTCGAGTTCCCCGTGGCGTTTGCCCAGGGGGGGCACTGCCCACCCCTGCGTTGTTGGAAGACCACCTTCTCATCCTCGGATCGATGTCTTTTATTGGTTTCCCATGGGTCAGTATGGATTCTCCTTCAGGATTCTAGGCCCGTCTGAGCCAATCTGGCTTCACGGATTATTTGTGTGTGTGTGTGTGTGCGCGTGTGCATTCTGTGTGTCGCACCAGGACTCACGGCAGACGACACCCAAGCTGTGCGTCCCCGTAACCGTTAAGTGCTGTCTGCGTGGGCTTATCTTGAATTTAATTTCCTGGAATGACTGAATTCGTGACAGACGTGGAGTTTTGTTCATTTATCTTTAAGAGACTGGCCACCGGGTCTAAGAACCAGAAAACTCGAGAGTTCTGACTTCAATCAACGGTTAGTGCGGTAGTGCCAAAGAACTGTATCCCGCGTTGGTACAGCGATCACACCTGCTTTCGTTCCTCCGGGGACTGGTTCGTTTTGTTCTGTTTAGGTACCTGGGACTTGTTTTTCTAGTGACTGGCTTTGTGTGTGTGTGCTCTACCGATAGGGTAACGAATGGCCCCTCCGAAATTTACCCTTGCTTTGAGACCGCCCACATGACTTCCCTGAAAAAAAAAAAAAGAGAATGCTTCATAGTTTTATTTTACTTATATATGTGAAAGAGTCATATTTTCCAAATTATATTTTCTAATAGGAAGAATAGATCCTAAGTCGGACAAGGAGAAAGTCGCTTGTCCGAGTTCTACCTGCTCAGTCCCCAAACGCCCACCAAGCCGCCCTCCTCCCCGGGAAATCTGAAACTCTGTTGCTAAATTTTAATGACCGCGATTGGTATTACACCTTATTAAGAACCTAAGGGGTATTTTCCCCTTAGGCATGACAATGTTATCAGCTGGAGATGGGATGCCTCTCTTTTTGATTACACCCATGTTTCAACCCTCCTGTTGTGTTCGAAGTTATCATCTGGTTTTGCCTTAATCCTTGAATTGTATATATTTATCTGTTTAGCTGAGATGAAATCCAAATGTCCCATATCTAAACTTAGTGCAATATCTTATTTTGTCTTTTGTACAGATCATATGAATTCATAAAATTATTTATGTCTCTGTTATAGAATAAAGGTTACTATACATTAGTTGAATCGTTTTGTCCTTCCGGTTTGGGAAATGTGTATTCTGCTGGATTTATTTCCTGTCTCCCACCAGTCCTTTCCCTTCCTTTCTTTCTTTCATCCTTCCTCTCATTTCTTCTTTCTGGGGGTTAAGAAAAGCTTTCTGAATGTTTAGGGATTGTTCTCTGAACTGGCATGTGAACTCTTTTTTTAAAAAGATTTTATTTATTCATTTTTTGGAGAGGGAAGGGAGGGAGAAAGAGAGAGAGAGAGAAACATCCATGTGCGGTTGCTGGGGGTCATGGCCTGCAACCCAGGCATGTGCCCTGACTGGGAATCGAACCTGAGACACTGCATGTGAACTCTTTACGGGGCTCCACCAGTCCAAGCCCAGCAGTGGCGAGCTTGCTGGAAGAGAGTCAATGAGCATAGAGAGCCCTTCTTCCAGAAGAGCTGACCGTTAGGAGGTGAAGGGAAAAGCAGCTGCCCCAGAGCATCGCGAGGACGCCCGGTAAACGAGCGAGTGGCGGTGAGTCCGAGCACCCGCACTCTCAAACGGAAGACCCCAGGAGAGCGTCCTCCCCTGGTCTCAACACTGAAAGACGAACGGCAGACTGCAAGCTGCGTTTTAGGAGGAACTGCTGTTGGAGATGTCTCACCCGGAGATTGGGGCCCATTTCCCGGTCCATTGTCCATTAGCACAATTTCGGGGGGCCCCCTTCTGCAGCCAGTGGCAGCGCGGAAGGGGTTGCAGGGTCTTGTCGGGGGGGGACGCGCAAGCAGGTCCCCCAGTATAATTGTGACTCGTCACCAAGTCAGAAGGTGCATTCGCCACAGGGAGGCTCCTCCTTCCCCAGGACAGATTACCTGGCGATGCTGGCAATGGGTCCTCAGTGTTCCGCTTGGCGAGTTACCCCCCAGCTGTCTCCCAGTGAAAACTCTTTCCTCCTGCGTGGTTGCGTGGGGTGCAGAACCAGTGCCGCACAGGGGGCTTTTATCGGGGTGTGAGCGGCCCCTCTGGGGATGTGCCTGCCCTGACGTGGGCTGCCCCGAGTTCTCCGGGTTCAGAGTTTGTGCCCACGGAGTGACGCGCCCCCGACCAGCGTGCCGGTGGTCATTGGTTTGGCAACATGGCTCCGGAGAACTGGCATTACCAACAGATGCTCGTGATGGGGCTGGGAGCGTGTGGTGCCGCACAGAACAGACCAGTGCAGAAATGTCCTTCACAGACACGCGTGTGGCCGTCCCCTGGGGCTTGCCCTTAATTTTGTGGATTTTTCTGAACACAAAAGAACATGGGCAGAGGGCTTGACTTTAATTCCTAAGCCCGAGTACATATGTTCTGGGTGCAAAATCCATGTAAAACCTTCGAGGCAAAATCTCTATGAAAAAGACACAGAAGCCGTGGCTGTCAAATGTGGGGGGCATCTGCAACAGGGGAGGGATCCCCAGCGGAGGGACGTGGCGGCCGATGAGTGAAGTCTGAACGAAAGCTGTAGGTGCTTGTTCCGAAGTGGTTCTAGGAGGTGAGAGCCCCTGCCCCCCCAGAACACGGTGGCTGGAAAGACCGGATCAAAGAGAGGGAGCTAAAGCTGCCAGGGACGGGGTGACCTCGCCGGAGGAGCATGGATTCTGGGGAGACGGAGGGTGGAGTTCTATGACCTTCATTTACAAGCTCTGTGACCTTGGGTGGGTTTCTTCACTTCTTGGCGCATCCGTAGGTTGTTTCATTCGTATACAAAAAATGGTGGTGAGGAGGAAATAAGACAGGCGTGGTGCCTGGCACACAGTAGGAACTCATCTAAGGGCCTCCTGTTATTACTGAAGTTTAAAGCACCAACGCAGGCAGGTTGGGCAGCAGAAGGCTACGGGACTGGCCCGAGGAAGGGGCAGAGACCGAGCCTGGGTGGGACAGGGCGCAGGGGGGAGGCGGTGGTGTCGGTGTTTCCAGAAATGGGGCCAGATGCTCCCGCGCATTCCGTGACTTGGAAAACAGTGTTCAAAAGTTGCTGGGTCCACAAAAATGCTAATGGACGATGGTATTTGCATCAGCCCTGCCCGCACTCGTCAATGCCGGCCCATCGCTTCCTGCGCTCCGGCTCCTTGGGCGCTCCCTTGGCCTATTGATCGCCGAGTGTGAGCGGCTGTCTGCAGCGAGACAGAGTCCCCGGGCAGAGTCCCCAGGAAACGAAACAGGGGAATTCAGAGCCCACCGCGGGTCTCACTGAGTCCAGCTGTTTCTCGGGGTCCCTTGTGATCCCCGATTACACTAGAGCCTGATTATCTCATTACAATGTAATTTCAATTCTTCCTTTCTTTGTTGATTTAGGTTGTGTCGCCCTTTCTTTTTGGTTTTTGACAGACACCTTTTTGGCCTCTAGTTTTAGCGAGTTGCTGCTTTAAATCTTGAAACCGACATCTTTAACCGATATTGATTAAATTATTCCTTGAATGTGTCATGCACTTTGCTTGGCGCTGAGTTTTCAGAAGTGGTGACATCTGCCCTTTTCAGATCTCCCCAAATGTCACACGGCTAGCCTCTTCTCAAGGAACCACAGAGGCCGAGGAGGTGGTGACATCTCTCCTTCCAACCGAGGGTACTGGGCTTTCTCTGTTGAACCCCACTGTCCCCACAACGATGGTGGTCTGCCGGTTATGGTGAGGTCCCCACATTGGTTGCTCCAATGACCATAGTGAAGTAATGAAAACCAAGACAAAGGTGGCAGCGTGTGACAGGGGTTCGCATGCAGAGCTGTGGCACTGACGTTGGGTTCCGGTCCCCCGTGGTCTTCTCTGGCGGGGAGGGAGCTGGGATTCAAGGGGTCCATTAGTAAATAGCCCCTTCTGTTCCCTCTGATACAGGCCTGCCTTTAATACGGGTGTCAACTCTGTTGGAATCCAAAGGATGCTCCCCCCGACCGTTCTATAGAAAATAACTTTATGAATTTGATCTTGAAATTCTCCTGTGTCATCTTTTCAAAACGATGTGCATAGAATCGTCTGGAAATTTGGTGAAATGCAGATTGTGATGCAGATTGTGATGCAGGTCTGGGGTGGGGCCTGAGATGCTGCATTTCTGACGGGCTCCCAGGTGATGCCGCCGGTGCTGGCCCGGGTAGCGCACCTGGGAGAGGGAGACCTTCCAGCAGTTTCTTACAGCCCGTGGCCCGCAGTGAGGCCTGTGGGTGGTGGTGTCCACAGCACTGGGGCTTGTTAGGCCCCCGGGTAGGGTTTAGACTCGCCCAGACCTACTGAGCCCGAATCTGCATTTTAATGAGTTCTTTCTGCCCTGCCCGTGGTTCCTGGGCACAGGAAGGTTTACGAAGCTCTGTCTTTAACTCAAAGACCCCCCCGCACCAGGACCACCTGTGCTGGGCTTCTGGCAGCTGCGGTTGAATGGCATCTCTGTGATTCTCACAACCCCAGTCCGCCCGGTGCAGGGCATTGTGTCTGCAGGGACCCGGAGAGCAGTGCACCTGCCGACCTTCCTGTCTTAACTCGGCGGGCCAACGGCAGTGAGCCGGCGGCTCTCACGCCGGGAAGCGGGCGCGCGTGTCCTGCAGGAGGGGGCTGCTGCCAGTGTGTGAGGAGGAGGGACCGCAGGAAAACTCACCTGGAGGAAAAGGTGTGCGAACCCGGCATGGAAGCACAGGTAAGTCACCCACAGAGAGCGGCTGCCTGGCGAAGGGGGCCCCCGGCGACCTTCCTCACCTTGTCGGCACGTGTTCTGAAATAAAGATGTGGTTGCCCCTTGCTTTTCTTTGCCATGAAATGGTTCTTCTCCGGGGACCGTGATGCTTCTGTCTAAGTGCACTTGGCATTTGGCTTCCAAAGAGGTTGCTCGGCTGAGTGGGAGGGGGTGTGTGTGTGTGTGTGCGTATGAGAGAGAGAGAGACAGAGAGAGAGAGAGAGAGACAGAGAGAGAGACAGAGAGACAGAGAGACAATATTTTCAGAAGGACCAATGACACCAGCAATTTCTGGGAGGCCAGTCAGTGTGTGTACAATCCATCTGGGGCAGAAGGCTTTCCTAAAATGTTTTTGCTCCAGTTGATGGTATTTACAATGGGAAATACATCATCATAGGTACTGAGCCGAGGTCTTTATTTCTCACATTAACTTGGGAATATAAAGTTTGACCCTTTGGCCTTTCAGGAACTGGGACTTTTGAGGAAACCTAGAAAGCATTGGCCTGACGTTCCCCAGGAAGTTGAGGGTCTCTGCAGACGTGGGCTCTATGCTCAGAGTTCGTCCCTTCCCTCCCTCCCTCCCTCCCTCCCTCCCTCACTCCCCCCTCCCTCCCTCCCTCCCTCCCCCTCCTCCCTCCCTCCCTCCCCTCCTGCTCTCCTTCCTTCCTCCCTCTTTTTGGGTCCTGTTTCAGCGTTGACATCAAGGCACAATCAATAAAAGGAAGAAGATGTAGGGAAACAAAGGCAGGTTGAGTGGCTGTTGTCGCATTAACTTTTTCCCCTTTAAGACAAGAGAAAACATGTCCAGTGGTTTCCTTTCAAAGCGCCCCTGGGAGACGGGAGTGGAAATGCCAGCGCGAGCCTGGGGCCTCCGTCCCGGTGGGAGGCTGGGGAAGCCACTGGGCCACCGAGGCTGCAGACAGTCCGTTGGAAACCAGCCCCGGCAGCCGTGGAAATGACCGATGACGAGGGACAAGGCTGTGTCGTCCTGGTTAGGGTGCCAGCACGCAGCAGGGAGGGCTGTTATCATTGGCCAGGGAGTTTAAGCGACGTGTCTACACTGGATGCTCAGGTTGGAAAAGACGTCCAGGCCCGAGTCAGACAACAAAGTCTCGGTTTTATCCTCTGTCACCCGCTGTTTGGACTGACGGTTATCCTGTTTAACTGGTGACAGTGGCCAGTTTGCGTGACTCAGCTCTCCAGAGACAGTTAGGGCTCCTCGATTGTGGTCTGTGTTTCCAGAGGGGGGTCCCGCTCCCTTCGTAAGTTGCGTGGGGCTCTTTTTTCCCACGCCCCTTAGCTATTCAGAAACACCC